TCGTAAGGCATCTACATACGAAAATGTTGTGCTAATGGGAGATTTCAACTATAGACAGATTGACTGGAGCAATTTGACGGGAAATTTAGAGTCAGGTGACTTTCTTGATACGATCCAGGATTGTTTTTTAAAACAGTTTGTGACAGAGCCAACTAGGGGAAATAACCTCCTTGACTTGGTTCTTGCCAGTAGGGAAACACTAATTAATAATCTTGAGGTTAATGATGAGCTTGGGGAAAGTGATCACAAATCACCCAGTTTTAATATATCATGGAATTCCCCTAATAATGGCAATCAAGTCTCCGTCCCTGACTTTCGCTTGGCTGATTTCATAGGACTGAAAAATTACTTAGGTGGGCTGAACTGGAATGACCTGACTAAGGGTCAGGTAGGTGGTGATGGTTGCCGATATGATGCTTTCCAGGGCATAGTTCTAGCTGCTCAGTCAAATTATGTTCCAAATAGGGAAATCAGATCAAACAAAAATGATCCTAAATGGATGAACAATAGATTAAAATATCTGATTGGTCAAAAGAGAGGCATATATAGGCAAATCAAAAGAGGAGAGGGGCAGTTAAGAAATCGATATATTCAGTTAAAGAGAGAAATAAAAAAGGGAATTAGAAAAGCAAAAAGAGATTATGAGGTTAAAGTTGCAAGAGAATCGAAGACTAACCCAAAAGGATTCTTTCAGGTATACAGAAGTAAGATCAGGGACAAGATAGGCCCACTCAAAAGTTCCTCGGGTCAGCTCACTGACAGTGATAAGGAAATGTGTAGAATTTTTAACACATACTTCCTCACAGTTTTTACACAGGAGGATACCAGCGATATTCCGGAAATGATAAATTATGTAGAACAGGACGATAATAAACTGCGCACGATTAGGGTCACAAGTGACATGGTCCTTAGGCAAATAGATAAATTAAAACCTAACAAATCCCCAGGCCCTGATGAACTGTATGCAAGGGTTCTAAAGGAATGTAAAGAGGAGCTTAGCAAACCTTTGGCTAATCTTTTCAACATATCACTACAAACTGGCAAGGTGCCAGATAAGTGGAAAATGGCAAATGTGATACCTATTTTCAAAACAGGTGACAGGTCCTTAGCTTCGAACTATAGACCAATAAGCCTAACCTCCATAGTGGGAAAATTTATGGAATCAATAATTGCCGAGGCAGTTCGTAGCCACCTTGAAAAGCATAAATTAATCAACGAATCTCAGAATGGTTTTACAAAGGGGCGTTCCTGCCTTACGAATTTATTAACTTTTTTCACTAAGGTATTTGAGGAGGTAGATCATGGTAATGAATATGATATTGTGTATATGGACTTCAGTAAGGCTTTTGACAGGGTCCCACATCAGAGACTATTGAGGAAAATTAAGGCACATGGAATAGGAGGAGAAATTTTTTCCTGGATAGAGGCATGATTGACAAATAGGCAGCAGAGAGTTTGCATAAATGGGGAGAAATCAGAGTGGGGAAGCGTCACGAGCGGTGTTCCACAGGGTCAGTGTTGGGCCCCCTGCTGTTCACAATCTACATAAACGACATAGATGAGGGCATAAAGAGCGACATCGGCAAGTTTGCCGATGACACCAAAATAGGCCGTCGAATTCATTCTGACGAGGACATTCGAGCACTCCAGGAAGATTTGAATAGACTGATGCAGTGGTCGGAGAAGTGGCAGATGCAGTTTAATATAGACAAATGCAAAGTTCTAAATGTTGGACAGGACAATAACCATGCCACATATAAACTAAATAATGTAGATCTTAATATTACGGATTGCGAAAAAGATTTAGGAGTTCTGGTTAGCAGTAATCTGAAACCAAGACAACAGTGCATAAGTGTTCGCAATAAAGCTAATAGAATCCTTGGCTTCATATCAAGAAGCATATATAATAGGAGTCCTCAGGGTGTTCTTCAACTCTATACATCCTTGGTTAGGCTTCATTTAGATTATGCTGCACAGTTTTGGTCACCGTATTACAGAATGGATATAAATGCTCTGGAAAATGTACAAAGGAGGATGACAAAGTTGATCCCATGTATCAGAAACCTTCCCTATGAGGATAGACTAAGGGCCCTGAATCTGCACTCTCTAGAAAGACGTAGAATTAGGGGGGATATGATTGAGGTGTATAAATGGAAGACAGGAATAAATAAAGGGGATGTAAATAGTGTGCTGAAAATATCTAGCCTAGACAGGACTCGCAGCAATGGTTTCAAGTTGGAAAAATTCAGATTCAGGAAGGATATAGGAAAGTACTGGTTTGGTAATAGAGTTGTGGATGAGTGGAACAAACTCCCAAGTACAGTTATAGAGGCCAGAACGTTGTGTAGTTTTAAAAATAGGTTGGATAAATACATGAGTGGATGTGGGTGGGTGTGAGTTGGACCTGATAGCTTGTGCTACCAGGTCGGTTGCCGTGTTCCTCCCTTAAGTCAATGTGACCTGACCTGACTAGGTTGGGTGCATTGGCTTAAGCCGGTAGGAGACTTGGACCTGCCTCGCATGGGCCAGTAGGCCTTCTGCAGTGTTTCTTCGTTCTTATGTTCTTATGTTCCTAAGAAGCATATAACTTTTCAAAAATTGTTGACCATTGTTATCAGTGAAGTAAGATGGGAAAGATCATGAGCTTGTTCTGCATTCTGAACTGTAACGATGAGCACACAGCTTCGAAGAGCGTGAAAGGATATATTCTGGCTAATGTGTCGTAAAAGAGCTTTTCCAATACTATGGTCTGAAAGATAATTGGTTGGAGATGTCGGTTGTAGGGAAAAGAATTTAGTCCACTGTATTATTATTATAATAAAAAAGAAGCGTTAAGCCACAAGGGCTATACAGCCAGTCACTGTATACTTGTAAACATGTTGCGTAAAGGAAGTGGGTATCGAATAGGTCATTTCTAGGTGGAATGAGGAGACTAAAGAACCGTCGTCAGCATGGGGAAATGTTTAGGTGTAGTTCTGCGGGCAGCCCGACTTTAGGTAGGTGGGAGATCCGAAAACCGTCGCACTATATTCAGGGAAGCCAAATGCATAGTTAAAGACGTGCACTAGATGAAATGCGCGGAGCCTCAGCACCTGGAGCAGGTGACAAAGTGTCACCAGCAGGAGGTACAGGGGTATGGGAAAAGTCTGGAGAATGGTCCAATAAAGCCGGGTCAGAACAGGATGGGGTAACAAAAAAGAGGCCTTGGAGGAGGAGGAATATCATGGAACAAAGTCTCCATGATGCTACTTTTATTGTCATAATGAAAAAGAAAAAACTAAGAGGGACAGTCACTAGAAGGCACGAAAGAGCCGTTAAGTTTCCCCTCTCATCAGAGAGGACCTCAAGACCACAAACGGTGCAGATGCAGTGTAGAACCTGTGCCATACCCTACCCTTCATGCCAGTAACCAGCACTCAGGAATAGCAACCTCACATCTACTGAACCACTTCGGCGGACAAAAGAAGGTGTTCAAAAACCCACCACAAAGCATACCTCCTTCAGCTGCCACCTCCCAGAACCGACAGGCAGCCTCTGAAAATACACCAGTCACCTGCAGGACACCCCTCTCAAATCCGGGGAGGGAGCAGAGTGTCACCAGATAATCCAGATTCCACGGTACTCAACCACACCCAAGGAACCTCACGGAGCGGGATGAACCCCGGCACACTCACTCCCACCTAGAAATCTTAATGCCAGAGGGGAGGACCCCAGAGGCTACAAACAGGACAGGGAAAAGGGAGGGTTGGGAGGAAAGGGAAAAAAAGGGGGAGATGGGAGGATTGGGGGTAATTGAATTCGGTCTGAGGAAAGACCAAAGAGTCTAGTTCCTTAGACCAAGAGCCTTTTGCCACGTCAAAGAGCTTCCCCTTGAAGAGGTCGTCGTCTACATTCACTCGTCTCTTCATTTGCCCCTTTTGTATGTTCATTTAGCATCTAATTTTTTCCTTTTACCTTCGGAGGTTCTGACAGTGTCAGTTCTTCCCACTACCATGCGAGAGTTCAAATGCCTACAGTTGCTTCTCGCCCTCTTAATCACTTCTGGCCTTATTCTCATGCCGTCGCTGTGTACACTGATGGTTCTAAATCCTCAGACGGTATCTGGTTTGCAGCAGGTTCCATACAGAGTAGCGAAGGCTTTTATTAGACTGCTAGTATTTTTTTTACAGCTGAATTTTATGAAATTCTCATAGCAATTATCCGTATCGAATTTATTCCTGTCGCTATTAGTAAGACTTAGTGCTTTGCAAGCTATAAAAAATGATTCATCTCGTCCCCTGCTCCTTCGTAAGCAACTTTAGTTATGCTGAATTTCTGGCAAAAACTTTTCTGTTGGGTCCCTGGTCATGTTGTACCAGGCAATGAACAGGCAGACACTGCGTGCTCGGCAGTACACGACTCCCAGTGTCATATAGGTGTTCCTGTCAAACCATTTTGCTGTAATTTCTAACCACCTTTGGCAACAACGTTGTTCAGACATGATACGAATTACATTATCAAGCCAAATTTAGGCTTTTAGCCATCTTGTCATTGATGCCGAGGTTGAGACACACTGCCTCCGCATCGGGCGCTCTCTTCGTTCTCATGGAGAGGCCCTGTTCCACTGAGAAGTGTCAGGTTTCAGTTAACTATTCTGCTGGACTGTCCAGCATCAAGTATGCAGAATTTAACTCCGACGTAGTCACTGCTCTAACGCCCTTACTTTATCTTCCCTCCTCACTGACGGACCTACCTTTGACTTTATACTTCCTTTAACACTCCTTACAGCCCTAACTCCCTGTTGTCCTCTCCACCCTTGCTTCTATGATCCTGCACTGCCCCTCTGCCATGTATTACTCTTGCAGGCTAGTGCTTTTTTTTATATATAATTTAATCAATGAACAATGCAGGTTACTGGTCTTAGGAGGCATCATCCAGGTCTCCCAGTCTCAGACTAGGAGTAACTTTGAAGGGAAATATTAAAGAATTATGACCTAAGAGGATGGAAATAATACAGTGGCTATGAGCATTAATATTTATTTTATGTAAAGTATTGAAGTTAGACAGTAGAGGTTCAGTGGTCACAGCATCGCTACTGGAGTCACAGCAGTGCTACTGAAGTGGGGGGATGGGTTCATAGTTTATTATTTGCTTCAGTTCTCCATCTATGAAACTGAAGTTTTACTGGAGAGATTACTGAATTGGTGCACTGGTTTCATTAGTCAGGAAACAAGATTCTGGGGTGTTGCTGTTGAAGTAGAGGAGTGATCCTTGTTACTGATGCTGGGGAATGTTACTGGCGAGTGTACACCCTCTTGGCTGTAACGTCACCCAGGGCCATAGTCTGAAATGTTAATTATTTTTATTAAATTTGCATACACAATTTAAAAAATCAATTAGAGCAACCATGTGACTGCGTTTGAGGTCGTCCTCAACTATTGTCAAGTCATAATGGGCGAGAAAAGCAGAGAAGGGGAGATGACAATACGGTAGTGTCCTCAGGTAGTTGCGAAATTAATATTTTCTAAACAATAATTGTCATGCAGTGGTTTAAGTTAGACAGAACTTAAAGTTGAACACAGTCACAGGGAAGTTAGGAAATATTTCTTCAGCCTTAGAGTTGTCAGGAAGTGGAACAATCTGGAGTGAAGTAGTGGAGTCAAGATCCATACACAACTAATAAACACGATAACGCTCTTAGTGAACCTAGTAGCAACCAGCGAAGAGGCGGGACCCAGGAGCTGTGACTATCCCTGCATCCATATAGGCGAGTTCACGTTGTGGATCCATAAAGTATAGACAAACTTATGACGTTAATGTGATACGTCTCTGTATTCACCTTTGTGGTTGCAGGTAGTCGACTCATAGCTCCTGTCCCCCGCCTCTTCGCGGGTAGTTACTAGTAGTGATGTCATTATCAGCTGGCTTTTCATTGATAGAGAAAATGAAGGATATATGGAGACGAGGATGCTTGAGCAGCGCCTCGCTGTCAACATCCCTACACAAGCCAGAGAAATATGGTGAGACTTCTTGCAAATCTCTAGTCTTGAGAAGCATCACTGGGCAATCATCCAGCGAGGTTCCACCGAGTTATTGTACTCTACATCTCGCCCAGTCATAGGTAAGGAAAGCTGCTGCAGGCAGCTCTCATCGGGAAATACAGGGAGACTGTTCACGAAAGGGGTGACCTTGTTGAGGTACACAGCACTGAGGTACCTTGATACCTCTGAAGGGCTCTATTTCAAGTAATTGAAACAATTTTTCCCTCTGATCAGTCTTCATTGCTGCCCATTTCGCAGGTGCTGTACGACTCCGGATTTAATAGTCCATCAATGCAATAATACCTCGCCTCTACTCCCCCTCCCAAGGATGCCACCCACAACTGGCTACTAACACCCAGGTACACATTTACTGTTAGGTTAACAGGGACAGTAGGTGTGAGGACTCAGGTGTAGGCTCGCTAGGGGATCGAACGTGGGTCTTACGAGCAGAAAGCTATGAAACTGAGCAGAAAGTGAAATTTATTAGTGAAATCTAAACAAGGTTGTGAACACTGGCAATACAGGAACTGTTAAAGGACCTTTACATTAAGGTCAACTTTTCGCTACAAGTCCTGACGAATCCAGTCGTGACTGAATTGTCACTAAGTGGCCAGCAGTAACAGCTTGGTTGATCAGGACCTGACCACGAGGCATGTTTCGGGGATGGGGGGACGTTGAACCCCGGAACACGTAGGTATATATACCACAAAACTATCTACATTAGTTTACCACAGTAAACAAAATGCTGAAGACTACACCACAAGCAGAGTTCTCAGTATACAATTTCAAAGAGGTAATTATTAAGTATGGTGTAAATGGTTCAGGAAAACCTACAAGTTAATTCGACACTTGCAACATTTGAGTATTATGGAAACTTAGCTAACAAGTGGCTTCCTTAGCCTAGTACGGAGACTGTGAAAAATAGTTTGAGGGGATCAGTCCCTCAGCCTTGGGTCGAAGCACAAATAACCAGCACATAGAAGAGAAGAGCTTACGATGACGTTTCGGTCCATGTCGGACTGAAACGTCGTAAGCTCCTCTTCTATGTGCTGGTTATTTGTGTCGTTCCAGTTACGGTATTTCCCCCCCCCCTTTTTTTTTTTTTTTTTTTTTTTTTTTTTTTTTTTTGTTATTTTTGGGTCTAGGCGTTCAGACCTCGAAGGATAATGGACTGGATACATCGGCCCAAAGCTGAGTGACTGATTATCTCAAACTACTACTACTTTCACCATCTCTGTACTTGACTGAGGAAGCCACTGGTTAGCGAAAAATTTTCCATAATACTCAGAGGTTGCACAAGCGTCATTCTTAAACTAAGCAGTGACCAACCTGTGTGACGCCAGAGTCTGTAAACGTGACTGTGGCCTTTCCAGTCTTGCCACCCATGGTCCATGTACCTTCCAGCGATGACCCACTCTTTGTCATGTTCACCTGCAGGAGGAATAATGTTCAACTTGCAAAGTATATAATAGCAACAATTAGACATTTTCAACATCTAGACATATCTTAGACATTTCGCCAACCTGTGTCTATCAAAAATTCTAGGACATAATGAGAAGATTAAGTCTATACATGTGTTAGTCGAATGGCGAGTCATCCTGGAACAGAACAGATTTAATATCTCTGACGTCAGCTAGGGTTGTGTACCATATACATGTACTTTTAGAAAAACTATGTTCGTGCATCACAATGCGGAATATAAATCTTTTTACTCTCATAGGACAGTCCATTAAGGTAAAGAACTGAACGCCACCTGGCAGCGACGGTAGAGGAAACTTTTCCACATGTCCACGACTCACTAAGAATCAGTAGAAAGGTGATACTATGTTCTCTCCACAGTTTTCTATAAAAATTATTTTTAAAAGTACTTTATACGCCTATTATAGACTTAGCTGACATTGACATACTGTATATAAAAAGTCCCTGGTTATGGAGAGCATTTCGGGCAGTTTAGGTTAATGTTTTATTCGCAATATGTTAGAGTACTAGCACCCAAGTACTTACAGCTAGATGAACAAGGACAGCAGGGTGAGAGGATAAGGTATTTGATGTTTGAGGTTATGTCGGTGTCAAAACTAGCGAGTGTTCACAAGTTATACTTCATAATGAAAGTACCAGATTTTCATTACACTTCAGGTCTACACCCTCTTCAGTTAATGGTTATATTTTTAAATTTTGAACAAGCTAAATGTCAGTCTTGTTTCAGCACCCAACTTGCTGCTTCAAACTTTAGTATATTTGAGGATACAAGTCCTGAAAGTGAAGTTTTGGCCGTACTTAACCGAGTTTGTCTTGTATGGTTCCAGGCTACTGCTTCCATTCTTCCACATTGGCGCAACAAACTTACTGAACACTTGTCTGACGACCATTGGAAGACTGCTTTGAAGATTCACTATCATTGGCTGACACCAATCAGCTGCGGGTGTCAAAGTGGGGAGAGTATTGTGCCTTTAACAGGTTTTCAATATTGTAGACTCTGATTTCACCGTTTACCGCTACTATTTGTTAAGATGTTACGTGTCCATTTCTGTTATTCCTTGTGCACTTGTGTACGCTCTCACACCGTGGTTGCACTTGTCAAAGGCTTCTGGGAAATCAATGTACGCACGAGATTTGAGCTGATCTTAGAGTGCATCCAAGACCACATCGTAATGGTCTAGCGGTTGTCAATGTTCCAAGCCCTGGATTGTCCAGGTTGAGATTTCGTGTGACTGGCAATATTAGGACCCGTTGAAAGATTTATTGCTTTTGTTGGTTTATAAGTAATTTGTTTACTGCCGTTGTGAAGTGGGGAAAATATTAAGTGGTTTCCAGCGACTGGGAGGACATCATGTCCAGGTCTCCATGTAATACTAGAGGCAGAGACTGTCACTTTTTATGAATGGAGTGCTACGAGGCTGGCCCAGGAGTAGAATACAAAAGTAATGTCTTCAGTCACCCTGGGAGACTACATCGAAAGTTATGTGATGGCGTTTTGAAAAATTATTTCATCTGTAGACTGAAGAGTAGTTCATCTAGTCTTATAATGACAAAGTATTTCGCTCATTTCCTTACAGTTCTCAGTATTTAAGTCCCTATACTGAACGAATTAGCCTTCGAGTTAGCACAAGTTATTTGGGATGGTGACGGTTAAGTATTTGGACTAACGTGTAATCTGTAGTCTCTGATGTTTGGTGAAAATTATCTCTGGCGAGCGAGTGAATTTTCCTGGAACTGTTCTTTTGAGGAAGTGGGAAATTATTGATACAAGGAATTTAAGCTTAGATCCAATTTGCTTTTTTCTCCATTCCAAACAATAGTTTTCCCTAAAAAAGTTCCTAATAAATCTTTTTCCTGCAGTAATGTGTGAAGTGACAAGTGTGACATTATGTGGCAAGATAAGAAATTTTCTGTAGCTTAGTACTGTGGTAATGAAGTGCTACCAGAATATGATAGTATAATGCAATATAGTATACTAACAGTGTACTCTATGCCTCCTGGTAGTTCAGCCTTGGAGTCTTCGCCCAGTTTGATAGTATTGGTGAAGTTCTTGTCACCAGCTGTGGTCTTCACCACTATCTGATTACCACTCTGGCTCACTTCCAGAGTAGGTTTCGCAGCTACCAACTTAGCTAGACTGTCAGCTGGTACTCCTGCAACAAGTGTGGAACATGTTACTAATGGTGATTTATATATCCATCTGTACTAGGTAGGTCCAGTAGTGGATTGGTACTTTTAATGTTTGAAAATATTAAATAATTTATAAAAGATTAGTAGACAATCTAGAAAGCCTCTGGTTATGTTGAATTCGGGTAGCCAAGTTATTTTAAATGAGCAATTAGTGGAGTTTACAAAAACACTTTTCAAACTGAGTAACAAACTAGGTTTTGATTTACTGTATAGAACAATCTGAATGACTAGAATGCACATTGTCTAGAAAAATGTATACCGCACTTTTTCTCCCAGATGGTAACAGTATTAACAACTTAAGATACAAGCCATAATTTAGTTTTTAAATACAGTATAATTGGTATTAACAGGTCGACTTGCTAGTTAAATTAGCATTCAAAATAAAACTGAAGTACGTATTTTCTGAGAAATATTTTAAGTCTGGATGCAAGAAGTCAAGAAAAAATCAATATAGAAGATTCTCAGTGCAACAGTTGTGTGAAGGGAGGGACCAGCACGTTTTTCCACGTACATTGAGGACAATGTGTGGGACGTAGAAAGTTTCCCCACGTTTTTGGCCCCTTAATTTGTAGTTTGCTTTTAGATGTTCAAAGGTTCAGGATATTGATTTTTAGTGTGACGTTTGTTCTAAAATTTTCCAGAAAGTGTTAGGTATACAGGCGTAGCTGACAAATGACATACTACATAGAAATTCCCTTAAGTAGAGCATTTAGGGCAAATTAAGTATTTTGTCCCAGGATGCGATCCTACGCTAGTTAACATGCAGGTAACCAAAGTGGATCTCTAGGTACAGATACTCAGAGGTATAGGTTTATTGAAGGAAAAAAGTGAAGGGTTTGTAGGCAAGACAGAAATCTATGGACTGTAGATAGCTTACCTGCTGTCTTCTAAACTTGTGCTGAAGTGCTGGAAATTAAGAAACTTTTTTCATAACCGAGGTAAATATTTGCTCCCAAAATTTTAGATGCAATATATTTCAGTATTAAGGATGAATTAAGTTTTGATTAAGGGGTTTGCGCCTGATATCAAAGTGTGTCGTCAGGAAAGTAACAGGTTTAGGATGCTTAGTGGGGTTAGGTAGTTCATCGATATACACTCAGTGGCTACTTTATTAGATAGCCATGTACGCCTGCTAGTTAATGGTGGCACCACAACGCCTAAAAGGATACCGACTAAGGTTGTTAAGACCGAACCTTAGAATGAGGAAGAAATGTTAGAGTGACAGTGGAATGATTGTTGGTGTCAGATGGGATGGTTCGAGTATCGAACTGCTGATTAGAAATTTCCCATGCACAAGTCACTGGAGCGGCAGTTTTGTGGACGAAAACGTGACAAAGAAGTTGGAGGATAATGGCCAGACGCTCAAGCTGACAGGAAGGAGACTCAACGACGCGTTACAACAGTGGCATGAAATCCTAAATGAACAAAAGGCTTGAGGTGGACGGGCCACAAACAGAAGACCACACTGGGTTCTGCTCTTTTTAGTTAAGAATAGGAAAGGCTACAGTGGGAGCAAGCTAACCAAAACGGGACAGTTGAAGACTGGTAAAATGTCGCCTGATACGACTAATCATGATATGTGATTGACGTGTAGATGGTAAGATTAGAATTTGTTGTGAACTTTTGGGATGGGGTTAAATGCCCCATCTCCACCAAGGCACGGTGGTAAAAAAAAAAAAGTCAATGATTCCATCAGTATTAACTGAGGCTCGCTCACCATAACAGTTATAAAGCTGCAACATTAACAACCTTCAGTGCAGGCACTGTACTTCTCAGCTCCAAAATAAAATTAGTATGTATGTGCGCTGAATAGGTAAATCACTCTCCTTATCCCTTCCTATAGTCCAAATATCTTATTATAAACCTATTTCTGGACGTTATCGAGCAGTAATTTTTTTTTTTTTAGGGGGGGGGGTGAACTTTAATATTAGTGATTCGAAAATTTTTTTTTATATATTTTATTTAAAAAACTTTACAGCTTAACACAAAATAAAAATATGTAAAATGAGTACAGTAGGATCGTCAGTCCTACACAACATACACTGACAAAATATACCAACACATTGTAACTGACACAAAAGAGGTTAACATGGAGTTTACCTGGAGAGAGTTCCGGGGGTCAACGCCCCCGCGGCCCGGTCTGTGACCAGGCCTCCTGGTGGATCAAAGCCTGATCAACCAGGTTAACCATATACACTCACAAATATTTCCATACAAGATACTTAATAAGAAAAAACAAAGGGTGATCCGACCCCTAACCTCATTATAAACCTTAGCAAACATAACTTACAGGTGACCACAGTAACAGGGCCAAATATAAATCAAATTATATAAATATCCATTGAAACTAAACCTTTCAGGTTTACATAATTAACATAATATAACTGACATATAACAAAGGTTCACAACCTTCACATTAGTCAATAAGAGGAATGACCTACATCATAATCTCATTAAAACAAGTACATGATCTTCCACAACTAACAGCCTATACAAGAATATTGCCTAAAAACATACATACGCCTCACTACAATCCCACTTTAATCATTGAAAAAAATGAAAATCCTAAGCTTCCACCTATACTTAATAAATATTAATCGCCCTCTTCCACAGGATGATCACGTTATATAAAGAAACAAAACCCTATTTGTCAGGGTAATGCGTGAAGGACAACCACAGTATACAAAAAAAGTGTTTATCCTAACATAAACCGCCATAACACATTTCATAATTAACACCTCAAAACGCGATACACATCTCAAAACAAAATAACATTAAAAAGAATGGGTAAACTTGAGCCTATTTCACGATAAACCTAACAATAACATAACGTACAGATAACACTCAGTACCAGGGCCAAAATATGAAGTATATGAACATCCAATGAAACGGAGCCTTTCAGGTATATATATATAGGTTACATAATATTACTGTGACAAAGGTTCAATTCAATAGAAAGAATGTTCACTATAAAATATCCGTTAGTCACAGCCTTGGCAGTCATATAAACCAGTTATCTACATCATAATTCCGTTAACACATGTACTCTTTCCCAACTAACTCCCGATACAGAAAAATTCTTTAAACATACACATGTTCCCCATTACAAAACGTTAATGAGTCAGGACAAACTTATGCAAGTCATTATCCTTCCAGCCCTCATCAACAGGAGGAACACATCATATAATGCTAAAATAAAGTCAGTACACTCACTAAACTCCAACACAAAACACAAACAAAACAAAAATTAACCTCTAATTGCGATGCGAATATCGCACATGAAACCTGCCCAATAAAGGCTATATACATACATTCTACAGACCCAAAAGCTCCTGCAAGGTCTTACACCTATAATATTAACACCATTCACACTCAATATATTAAGAAGGTCATGACGACCCTGACATCAATCACAATTCTCCATACGTTACTACATAATTACTTTATTTCATCACCTTTGCTTTCTGTACCCACTTGCATGCTACATATACTTATGCCACACATCTATACCTTCTAAACTCATACACCTCACTCTCACCCCCCCCCCCAGGAGGCGACCCCGCTGTGTCCCCCCTGAATTCCCTCTTCTCATATGTAATCCCCAAACCCCCATCCCTTACTCATTCAGCCCAAGTCGCAGATTCATAAGAAACCCTAACGTTAACATTCTATAACCTTCCAAAAAATCCTTCGCCCACCTCCTCCCATACAGTTCTCTGTTACGACACATCGTACGATAAACCGTTACCGCTAGTACCCGCCTCCGCACCTCACAAACCCCCCTCCCCCTCATCACCCATGATATATATATATATATATATATATATATATATATATATATATATATATAATATATATATATATATATATGTAATCCATCATTATATAATCCCACATCTAGGCTTAGTGCACGCAGAACCGACACCCCTCGGCCCCCCACCCTTTGTAGCACCTTAACCAATACCGAACACCCTCCAGCCTCCAGTTCCTCACAAAAGTATACTGCATGGAACGCCGTCTCATCCCCACCACAGATTCCGCACCTCCCGCCCTCATGTACCCTTCTGGTTCTTAGTACCACCCCCGACGGTAGTATGCCATGCAGAAAACAGTAAGTTACCTCCCTCACCCTAGGCTTTAACTTCAGCTTGCTAAACCTATACCAAATACTCTTCCACGCGTACATGGGGAACAATCCTTCAACTGGTACAACAATCCTCCCTGCAAGCAACCTACACAAAACCCCTATTCGAATTTTCCTGGGTTCTCTAACCAACATCAAAGCCCTCAAAACAGTTTCACATTCCCTCAACTCCACACCACCATACAACTTACCCAACCTATCATGTACTTTTTTCAGCTCCCCCCCCCCCTCACTCCGCGCAAAACCTCCCATTTAAGAAACACATTTAACTCTCCTTCTCAGATCCATCAACCCCAACCCACCCTGGCACACAGGTAACATTACAACCTCTCCTCAACCAATCGCACTTTAAACCCCACAAAAAGTTAAACACCCGTCTCAGAATTCCCACAATCGCCGTCCCTGTTATTGGGAACACGGCTGCTACGTGCCAAACCTTACTGTACAATAATACATTTATTACGATTACTCTTTGCACGAGAGTTAGATGATGAGGTCGCAATGCACCCAGACACCCCAGGATCCTTTCCATCAACCTATTTGAGTTTTCCTCTCGAGCAGCGTCCAAGTCATCCTTATAGATGATACCACAAATTTTTAAAGACACCGTTTGTTTCCTCACAAAGTTGCATCAAAAACTTGGCAGACGATGCACCATCCCCCCAATGAAAAGCAGGGGTGTCACTAGCACGTTAAGAGACCATACAATAAGTGTCAGGGGCCCGAGACTGTTCAACTGCCTCCCAGCACACATAAGGGGGATTACCAACAGACCCCTGGCAGTCTTCAAGCTGGCACTGGACAAGCACCTAAAGTCAG